ATTCAAACTTAATATTTCCAAAAAACAGTTTAAAAAATTGATAAATAACAGACAACAAAAAGAAAAACATCCTGACTGATGGTAAGGGAGGGCAGATGTTGTTTGGCTTAAATGAAAAATTCACTACACAATTTAGTCTAGATGTAACTATTAACACCCCAAGTTGTGGTTATAAGAAAGAAAGAAAGAAAGAAAGAAATAATACTAAGGGAAACCGAAAGAAAAAAGTTATTAAATATGAAAATTATTAAGTAATTATATTAAAAAAATATTAACACTCAAATTTAGCTAAATATCCTTAGAAATAAAATATAATACGATAAACAATAAATCATTATTAGATAGTTTATATTAAGAAAAAATATTAAGAAAAATTTATAAAAAACATTAAAAAAATAATTTTATCAACATTTAAAATATAAAAAATTAAAATATTAAGAATACAAATAATACCCAGAATATATAAAAAGACTTTTTAAGAAAATTTTTAAATTTAAAGTAAGTTAAAATATTAACTGTCTATGTCTAATCATTATGTCTCTGACTGTTTGATTATCTAATATAATAAAATAATATAATTAATTTAATAAATAATAATAATAATAATAATAATAATAATAATGATAATAATAATTTAATAATAATAATAATAATCTAAAATAATCAATTTCCTAAATAATAAGTTAATATAATTAAGTTAATATGATAACAATTCAATATAAATAATTTAAATAGAAGTTAAAATATTAAATTTTTAAAATTTAAAAATAAGTAAAAATATTAAGAAAACAAACAATAGCCAGAATATCTGAATAAAAACACAAACCTTACTTTTTTTAAATTTAAAAAGATAAACAAAAGCTAAAAGGGAGTTTAAAAAATAGTGGAAGGTTATAGGAGAGGATTGATATAAAGAAGACAAAATATAGAAAAAACTAAAGTGATCTCTATAATACTAGAAGAGTAATGTAGACATAAAGTAGGATCACAAATATTATATGTTTAAATCTACTCCTATGACAACATTTCAAAACCAATTCATTTCTTTGATTTAAAAAGTTTGCTTCATTAGATTTTATAATTTTAATTTTCTCTTCTAAACATAGGTCATACCTTATTCCTAAGAGTACTAGGAGTATGAGCAAAACCTGAAATTTTCCAGTCAATCTGAGGGTTCAGGACTTTATCCCTCAGTTCGCAAAATCTTTTGTAGAGAGCTGTCTGATATTTTAATTTTGGGTTGGTGAAGGAATGTCTATGGGTGCAAAGTATATATATATATATATATATATATATATATATATATATGATTGGACACTTTTCTAAATTGTTACAGTTGACACTGCTTCTAGTTGAACTAAAAGTAATGGCAACCAATATTTTAACATGTAAATGACGGGTTATCATTATTTGCAGTGGGGTGGGAACAAAAAGGAATAAATGGAAGAAAGGCATTTCAACAAGGAGATATTTTCTTGTACTTTTAATAAAGGATGAAAAAAAGAGAGAAATTAGTGCATACACATGCTTGAAGTTGTGGATAAACTGTCCAATGTTCATTTTTAGTTATTTTTGTTCAAGTAATTTTGATTATCATTAAGTTTGAATTCCAGGATCCAAGACAGTTCATTTTAAATTGAATAAAGCTGATGTACCTACATCAAAAACCAATATGGTAGAAATTTTTGAAAGAGTTTGTAATTTGTTTAATAAAGGTTATTCTTAATGAATATATAATTTAATTAAGACTGGTTAATTAGCTGAAAAAAGATATTTTTTTAATCTTATCTTAGGGGTTTGCATACTTATGTGCAGCACTATATATATATATATATATATATATATATATATATATGCATTGGTAAAGAATAGTTTTTCTTTTGTCTTTATTCATATTGCCTTTATACAGATATATGTTATATATATATATATATATGTGTGTGTGTGTGTGTGTATGTGTGTGTAAACATCCATTGGTATATAATACAAGTGAATTCTAATAATATGAAATAGTAAAACTGATCCACAAAGAGAGCTCAATGTATTTATTATAACAGACCAAATATAAATTGCATACAAAATTACCTCATTGTAATGATCATTTCACCTTACAAGTTAAAATTTCCTTACCAGGATTTTATAATATTACCATCTATAAGGAAATAAAATTAAAAAAATCAGAGAAGACTTTTTATTTTATATTTAAGGGAGAGTAAGTGAAAAGAAACATCTATACTTAAAATTATAAAGATCATGTGTATAAAGCAGTGCATATAAAATGATGGAGAAATAATCATTATAGTCAAGTTATTAAATAAATGAAATATATAAAATATAATTTAATAAGTAATAAGCACAAACTGATAATTAAATAAATGAAACAATATTAAGAGAAATGAGATATAATTATTAAATACAAATATATATATATATATATATATATATATATATATATATATATATATATATATATATATATTCTTAAAGAATAGTAATATAATTAATTATTAAAATAGAAAATATCCACCTTTAAAATTGTTAGAAGTGTGAGGGAAACCTATGATTTCTCAGTCAATCTGAGGGTTCTGATCTTTCTTTCTCAATTCCAAAATTGTTTTGGAAAGAGCAGTTTGGAATTTTAATTTTGGGTTGGAAAAAAGTGTCTATGGGTATATAGTCTTTGTTTCCATTCACCTGCAGAAATCCAAATGTAAATATGGTGGTTGATCTTATTTTCTTTGGGGTAAATGGTTGCTTGGTAAATCACATTCAAGGCTCTGCATTTTCCTTCGACTGGACAAAGTGCACTATTTCTACAATTACAGGGGGGGTTCATACCTGGTTTATCATTGATACTATAGAATTTATTTAGAATATATTTATTGTGGGAGTTGATAATTTTATACATATTATTTGTACAGGAATAATTTATTTTCATAATTTTCCTATTGATGATTTTACTTAGAGGGCGGTTATTATGGAAATGTTTATTCATAAGCTTCAAAAAGAATTATCCTATGTTAATTTTGGATAACTTACAAAAGGCAGGGGTTGAACCAAACTATATTTCTTTTTCTATTTCTATGCTTGCAAGTCATCTTATCCATACTCATGTTACTTTTGGGGTTTAAGTAAGATAGCTTATTTTTAAAGCCACTTTTTAGGAGTGCATTATCATTATCTTTGTTTTTATTAAAAATATATTTATTAGATGAAAGCTTACTAACACTAGAGCCAACCGTGATTGGTATCTGCTTCAAATTAGTTTTGGGTTGATCTGAGTCAACATTAATGTAGTTAGGAGTTTCATGTTCCTTATGGTAAGGTTTAAAGATATTGGTGTTCAAGTTAAGAGTGACATCCAGATAACTTACAATTTTGAGGTTAGAAGTAATGTCTATCTTGAACCCTACTAACTTAAAAGGTCTAATAATTTTTTTCTGTAGTTTTACAGTAAGTGGACCATTGTTATTGAGAACATTACTCATATTAACAAACCATTTAATGGCATCAAAAGAATCCTTCCAAAGATTGGCATCAGTTGTGATTAAAAATTTATCAGTAATTTTTAAAATTATATTTTTAGAGATTATACCTAGCTTGGATTTAGTGGAATTTATTAATCTAGATTGAGTATTATTCGAGAAGTTGGGTTTTTGGTCTTTAAATAGAATATAGGCATCTTTAGTATGGATTTCCCCCATTCTATCAGCAACTTTAAGACTATTGCTTAACTTGGCCATCACCTTATTAATCTTGAAGCTCCTATTATTATGTCTCTTTTTTGTAAGTATTAGTTATTTTATTTGTTAGGATCTTGTAGTATTTAGAGAGGTTATATTTATATATATTTTTAGACTTGTCTGCTCTAAGCGAAATTTCATTAGAGTTATTAATCATATATATATATATATATAGATAGATGGCTATTATATATATATATATATATATATATATAGATGGATATTATATATATATATATATATATATATATATATATATGTGTGTGTGTGTGTAAAATATATAGAAAATAGGAAAGAAGTTGTTAGGTAAATAATCCAAAGTTCTTTAGTATTTTTGTTATTATTTTTAAAAAATAGTGCTCGATACAAAAGTAGAGCATAAATATAATTATTTATTAAAAATATGATTCCAACGATATATAAGAGTTCTCATGTTTCAAAAACTTGTAAAACTTAGGATGACCCATGCTCTTTATGCCTACATGAAAAACTAAACATTAAGTTTCTAAATAATAAAAATCTATTAAACAATAGACATGAGTTAGTGGTTTTTTGCCAACATCATCAAATTTTTGCATTGAATAATTAGCATAAAAACAAATTAACAATAAAATAATTTTTAAATTCCATAGTCTAAATAAATAGTTTAAATGCCCTAATAAAAAAAAAACGATAACCCTTTATGAAGTCGTCAAAACACAAGTGTTAGCAACCTATGACAGTTTTTCTTATATACACAAAACCCTTTCAGAAAAAAAAAAATAATAAAAAAATAAATAAATCTCCATAGACACTTACCAGACTAGACGATGTGATCTTCTGCTTTAAATTTAGACACCCCCAACCTTACCTTGACATTCTGAGATATTAACCTTACGCCCCTTTCCTTTAAACAATTGCTCTGGCCGTTACCATAGCAATTTAAATTTCAATAATGAATATGCTTATAAAACGCATAAATTTCAGCAATAAGTTATTCCAAAAAAATTTTGCTTGAAGATGCAACAGAGCTTCGTACTTTAATTCAAATAATTATATTGAAGTTTTCGCCTCTTGTTTTGAAACATGAAAACTCTTATGTAGCGTTGGAATCATATTTTTAATAAATAATTATATATATACATATATATATATATATATATATATATATATATATATATATATATATACACACAAAATAGACAGATATGAACAGATTGAGATATATATAGAGAGAGATATGAATAGACTTTGATAGACAGATATGAAGATACTTTGTTAGATAGATAGATAGATAGATAGATAGATAGATACAGAATTGCATAGAGAGATAGATAAAACCGGACTGAGATGGATAAATAGATATGAAGAGACAGATAGATAAACATAAGTGCATAGATAGAAACATATGTGTATAGATAAATAGAAACAATTGCATAGATAGAAAGATATGAACAGACTGAGATAGATAGATAGATATGAACAGATATGACAGATATGAACAGATTGAGATAGATAGATAGATAGATAGATATACATGCTGACTTTCTGCACAATACATTTTTTCATCAGTTAATATTTAACAAGGCAACAATGGAAATTATGATTTTTGCATTCATTTTGATTCCAGAAAATAAATTATTTTCTCATCAGCCACACTTTTGGCATTCACTCCTTTTGCCTCTAATTCTGAAGACACTCTTTTCAGATAATCTGGATCTGGATATCCAAATCTGCAGAAGAAAAAAAATATTCAAAGTTTTTGTGCATTTCATTTAAAAAACAAAATACAGATAAGAATGGTTAGAAGAGAATATTTTCAATAAACTGGACCACTTAATTTGTAATAATTGTACATTTCCTGCCATTTTGACTGCAACGCATGCATTCATTCCTAACTGCACAAACTGATTTCTAATGCATTTGCATCATAAAATCATTTTCAATGCATTTCTATAGTAAAATCATCTTCAGTGCATCCTTATAGTAAAATCATTTTCAATGCATTTCTATAGTAAAATCATCTTCAGTGCATCCTTATAGTAAAATCATTTTCAATGCATTTTTATATAAAATCAATTTCAATGCATACTTATAGTAAAATTATTTTCAATGCATTTTTATATAAAATCATTTTCAGTGGATTATTATAGTAAAATCATTTTCAATGCATTTTTATAGTAAAATCATTTTCAATGCATCTATATAGTAAAATCATTTTCAGTGCATTTTTATAGTAAAAAAGATTTTCAATGCATCCTTATAGTATAATCATTTTCAATGCATATCTATAATAAAATCATTTTCATTGAATTTCTATAGTAAAGTACTGAAAAATGAAACTTCTTTGTTTAAGTAATAAAGTATTAACATTTTTGAATTTATGTTTGCGTCAGAAAATTTTGGAATTCAATCAGTTTGTGGTAAATGAGAAAAGAAGTCATGTTTTATTGTCCAGCAATAAATTCAACATTACTGGCAAAATAAGATTATAACAGATATTATTTAAATGTATTGCTAATGAGTTTATGGTAAATATTCACTGAAAATTATTTTACTATAAAAATACTGTGGCACCTTGCATTATTAGAAATATTCATAGAAATATGATTTAAATTTTTCTTACTCGGTTTACTAAACAGGTTGTTGATTTTTTTTTTAAAACGGAAAATAACTGAGTTGAAAATAATTCACTAAGATTGTACTAGACGATCCTAAGGGAAGAAGAGGAAGAAAAGAAAAAAGCAAAGAGAGAGGTCGAGAAATACAAAAAGCGGTCATTAACAAAAACACGAGTCAGAAAGATATCTTAGCTAGCATGTTGACCGAATTTTTAGAGACAATTGGAAGAATAGAATTATAAATGAAAAAAAATAGAAAGAGAGAGAGTTGGATGATGCATGACCCAATTGAGGGTGGAGATAGGAGTCAGAAAGAGATCTTGGTCTGCGTGTGGCCGACTTTATTTTTTTTAAGGACAATTGGAAGAATAGAATTAGAAATAATAAAAAGAAAGAAAGGGAAAAGACATGATATCGAAACGGGCCGCTGATGTAGACCAGATATCGTCAAAGCATCTGACCGACTTTTGCGTGGAGAGACTCCTTATCAATTTGGTTTAGAACAATAGAAATGAAATTTTTAATCAGAGAAAAGTGTTTTTGGGTTGAGGGGAGTTACCGGTGGAACTATATACAGATCCTGACCTGTTAAGAATTGGACACCCACGTTAATAAAGTGGAGACATTTTCAATGTAGATAATTAAGATTTTTGACTATCAGGAAAAACAAAGAGGTAAAAAGAGGGACAGTTGCTTTTGGCTCACAGAGGGCGCCAAGAAGGCGGAAAAGATCCTTTCTAAAGTCAAGACTAATTAGCGGCGGGCTGTTTGACAAAGTCCAGGTGAGAGAAGGCCAAGATGGTCATTTTTCGTACGTGCGAAAACAAAGAAAGGAAAAATTAGATTTTGTTTTTTTAGAACAAGAACGATATAAGCCCGCCCCGATTGATTGCAGGAAACGCCCAACCAGAATCTCATTAGCCGAAAACGGTCACGTGGCTGCGGAAAAGAAAAGAAAGAAATGCTCGATCAGAATCTCATTAGTCGAAAGCGGTCACCTGACATACGAGAGACCGAGAGAGATGGATATGCGCCTCCCCACCAAAAGCACTATGAGGAAGTAGGGGTGAAAACAATAGCGATAATGGAGAAGACAGAATTAATGCAGCTTTTGGAATTATCGAGAAAACCCTGACGCCGACAGACCCACCCCAGTTTGTTGCGGCGTCAATATAAGCAGGACCCCAGTCGACAGAAATCAGTTGGAGTTGGAGTTGAGAGTTGCAGCTGGACCGCGGGCAGGGAAAGAGCCTGAACGCGGGCATCGGGCCCGATTCACTCGCCCCTTTGCAGGCAAAAGAATCCTCAGACAAGAAATCCTTCCAGCCCAAGTCGAAGACAGAAGAGTTCAGCCCCGGACGGCAGCGAGAAGAGATCACCTCCACGACAGAGAGTTGCGGCTGAGTTGCGGCAAGAGATCCTTCCAGCCCAAGTCGAAGACAAGAAATCCTTCCACCCAAGTCGAAGACAAGAGAACTTCCAGCCTAAGTCGACGAAGAAGAAGAAATACAACTCAAGTCGGAGAGAAGAATCAACTGCGAATGATCGATAGAAATTAGCCCCAGTGTCGAACCAAACCACACTCCGACATACACAATTCTAAAGAGTAGGCAATTCGAAATCTTTAGGTTGTGTGATAGAAGCTTGGTGCCATAGTCCACAGAGCGGGTCGGGAAATGAGAACAATTTTGTTTTTATGTAGCGGACATTAAGATATAAAGGGTTGTTACCCATTTTTTTTCATCAGCAATCTTTTTGTCTCGTGAGTTTATTTTCTTTTTATTTGTGTTTTGCCACCCCGTCGGACTCAACTTGTATCGGCCCCAATCCCTGCTGGTCCTGTCTGTCTAAAGATCTAAACACAGCGTGGGTAGACAGACCGGAGATCGGTACAGTTGCTTTAGTGACCAGGTATTGGAAGCGAGTCGGGAAAGGCGAGGCTGGTGATCATCTGACCAAGGGGTTGGAGCGGCACGCTTGGACCCAGGAGGAGCGACCAGGAGGAGCGACGTCACCGTTGGCGCCGTAATCAAAGGATCCGACCCTGGGCCAGGTGTAACCGTCACAAGTGGTGCCGTGGCCAGGATCAACCCTGAGACAACCACGTCACATATGGTGCCGTGGTGACCGAGGGATTTCAACCCTGAGAAGACCACGATCGACCGCCGTTGCTGAAAATTCAGACAGAACTCAGAACGACCCGGGACCAAAGGAAAAGAAAGAACAGAATCATCTGTAAGGTAGGACACCTTGTTTTGTTTCCCAACCTCGATTGTTGCTGTATAGACTGTCTTTCTCTGTAGACATGTCAGATTATGATTCGGATAGAGCAGTGGGGGTGAAGAAGAAGGGGCGGGGTTGTCAGTGGATTTAAGGAAGCTGTTGGGTGGACCGAGGGTCCCAGTATTTGATGGCAGCGGGAAGGAGTTTAAAAACTGGCTGGCAATCCTCGAGAAGAGCCGAACCATCTACGAGCTCTCGGACCAAGAAACCCTGTATTTGGCATACGATGCCACAAAGGGAAAAGCGTCTGAGTTCGTGAGGGGGGTTTTGGAGAACCAACCCCTGCTTGGCTTGGGAAGAGATGAAAAGACTACTGACCAAAGAATTCGCCGACGAAGGTACGGCCATAGAGGCCATGAGGGCCCTTTTAAAACTAACACAGCTGCGGGATGAAACCCCGGGAGAATTAGGGGCCCGAGCGGGGAAGCTATCGTCATTGGCATTCCCCGAAGTGGTCAGGGATAATGCGGTTATGCAGGCTCAACTGGCGGACCTGTATGTAGAGGCGCTGAGCGACGAGCGTGTTCGTCACGACGTATGGAAAGAAGGACCGCTCAGACTGTCGGCAGCGATAGAGCTGGCCAGGGAGAGCCAGGGGTGTGGGATAAAGTGAAGAGGTGGGAAGAAGCAGATACCAAGTCAGGAGGCTGGAAGAAGGGGGTAGGCGGAAGAACCCCCGTGTGGAATCAGAGGGTTAAGGAAGAGGTGGATCGGGCAAAATTATGGGAGGAGGACCCCAATAGAAGGGCATGGTCGACCAGGCATGGCTTTTTATAAGCCCACGCCGGGTCGATACGGGCTGGTCTGCTGGACCTGTGGGGTACGAGGACCACAGGGCGGCGGAATGTCCGACGAAGTGGGGGTTGCCCCAGACTTCGATCGTGACAGGTGCACCAGGTGTGGTAAGAAAGGACACCTGGCTAAGTGGGTGCGGGCTGAGGAAGGGTGCCCCACCAATATTAACAAGGAAGGCCGAGCCCAAGAAAAGCCAGCGGGCCACCCCAGAATTAAGAGGAGGGTGGCCCAGTTAAAAGGAGAGAAAATAAAAAACTTGGACCAGTGGGTGGGCGAACCGCCTGAATAGAGGACAGGTTCCCCCCTGAGGATAGACACAAGGCCAATCCAGTTAAAAAAAAGAAAGAGCAAAATGTTGGACATGTGGTCGGGCGGGCCACTTTGCGGCAAGCTGTCCAACAAGAAGGTGCTGGTTTTGCAGGAGGCCAGGACACCTGAAAAGAAACTGTATTTTTAAAAACGGCCATGGGAGACCCGGGAGAGGTCCGGCCAGGGGTCGCCCAGGGTGCAGGGGGGGCGCAGAACTCCACCTCATGAGAAAAATGAAGGTGATACCGGCGCCTATGGCTGGGTTAACCCAAAGGTGGGGACCCAGGAAGAAGAAAGCTCAAGTGTTCTCTTCACTAACGCAAGAGAGAGAACTATCCTGTAGAGCAGAGATAGGTGGTAGAGAGATGAGGGCTTTGGTGGACACAGGAGCATCTGTGTCATTGATGAGAGGAGACATACAGGCGGGTGAAACGGAAGAGAAGGTTACGGGAAGCGGACATAGAGATCACGCAAGCAGATGGGGCCCCCCTGGAGATAAAAGGGATGGTAAGGCTCCTGGTGAGGATTGGGAGGTGAAAAGCACCCAAAATTTTTACGTAACCCCCCGACCTGTGTGTACGGAGGCAATCTTGGGAGAAGATTGGCTCCGGAGCCAGAGGGCCCAGATTGAGTTTAATCCTACTGTGTTGGTGGTGAACGGCGAGAGAACGCCATTGGGATGCCCACCAGAGGAAGAGATAACCATAGTGGTGGAGGAAGATGTA